TAATCAAGGAATATACCCTAAATGGCATGAGGGTCCCTATTATGAGTTAAGCTATATTCCTTAATTAAGGGGTATTGGGCTCCCTGGGTAGGATCCCTGTATACCCCATATTCTATGGATCTAAGGGGGACTAGTTCAACGAGTGGAACGGCCGTGAAAAGTTCCTAAGGCTTGCGCTTGTCTTAAGGGGGTTAGTAAGGAAATGTAGGGAATAAGAGCATTTACTCTATACATCGGTTATATTCCCTTATTCCCTACTATATCCCACAAATAAGCCCTATTATCATGTAGTAGTTTCCATTTGCTTCTTGGAACTATCCATATATCACCTCTGTATTCCCTGACCCCATACTAACCACCAGGAAGTTGTCAATGCCTTGTAACGGCACATCATAACCTCATGTAATGTGTTGCCCTTCGAGTCGAAACCTCTGAGCTTTAGTCTAAACTCCTCAGAGGGGTGGTTATATAGGGGATTATATAGAGTTTAGGGTCTAAACTCCTTAAAGGAGATTTTATAGGGGATTATAGGGGTTATGAAGGGGGATACTCTGAGTTTAGACTATAGCTCTATGTGTTTTCAAACTTTCCTTTCTCCCTCTTCTCTGTGGCTGTGCTCACATAAGAACCGAAGCATTCAGAACGAAACCTATACCAGCCATTTGGAGCGATATGTGTGTCCCTGTATAACTCCAGAAGAGCGTGACTCGCGAGAAGAAAAGATGCACAACTTTAGGACACGCCTTGCACCATAGATCGAACTAAATACTACTACTACTACTACTACTACTACTAAGAAGCCCCAGCTCTAGACAACACATCCGTAAAACAGTTCCCATGGAAAGCTAGCTGCCAGGAATTCTGCAAGACCTACAAGCGCGGCAAGTCGTGCACGGCTCCTTCGCTGGCCTGCCAGGTTTTGCTACAAGTTTTCAAGACAGGAGCAGGTGGAGCCGAGCATCTTTTCCCTAAGGGTCCAAGGACCCAAATAATAGGGTTTTAGGGCCCAAATACTATGCCATTAATGGTATTTGGGTCCTAAAACCCTATTATGTGGGTCCTTGGACCCTTAGGGTTTCAGTTAGGAATACACTCAGGGATCGCGGCACATGTTTGCACCTTGTTTTAAGGATAATGCTTTGACTTGTAAGCACATCATCGTTCAGGCACCCTCGCAGTGACGCTCTGATGCCTCAAGCCTCAAACTGGCCGTGCAGAATTGCTTAGGGTCGTGAGGGCGCAAGAATTTGAGAAATCGCAAAATGGCCGTATGACCAAGGCGAATCCAGGTCTGTCAACGATTTGGTTTCCTGTCGGCAAGACTCCGAAAATCATTTGGATAGCCAGGTCTTATGATTGTGACAATGCAGGATCTAGTGCAGCATGATCAGTACCATATATTTCCAAGAAAGGTTCAGGACGGAAAAAGAGAGTCGGTTTTTGGCAACCAACCGCTTCTGAGAGTGGGCGCAAAGGATCCGGCGACGTACATGCCTAGCTCAGCCTGTCTTAATTTTCTCCAGCTTTCTCAAAACCCTTCTTGATGAAATCCCTACGTGGCACCCTATCATCTCCTCATCCGCTCCATGTACCCTGGGCTTGCCTTTGGTGACCCTGGTTTGTTTGGCCCGTCGATTTTCTGCGTTTAGGTTATATTACCCATCATGGTACATACAGGTACCTGCGAGGCGTATGGTAGTTCCCCTAAAAAAAGCCAATGCAGACCCCAAAGCAGTTCAATCGTGATTATACTGACCCGCAAAATGGTACCCTTAACTTGGGGAAAAGCCAAGTGAAGCCCCCCGTAGTACCAAACCCCTGGGATACCCCTAAACCCTGAAACCCTAAACCCATTATAATATAGCAGTTTCCATTTTGTTTTCCATTATCCTTATATAACCCTATAAAGCCCTAGACAAAATCCCACAGCTGCCAGACTGATACCTTGAACTGCGTAGCCCCCTGTTTAATTTGGCGTCCCACATGTTCCGGTCTAGGTGTTGGGTTTAGGGTTCATTGGGGTTCAGGGTTTTGGGGTTTAGGACCCAGGGCCTAGGGTTTTGGCTTAGGGTTCATTAGGGTTTAGGGAGTTGGGAGTAAGATACCATCCGGGCTCCCAGTCCAGGTCTGCGATCTTAGCGCATCTGGGGCAGGTTTTACGGTACGTATAGTCTGCTCAAGTCCGAGCTTGTGTACCCAAAGCCCCGCATACCCTATCTTGCTTGTTCAATTTGGGAAACTCCCATATCCACAGGCCCACAGCCAGCCAAAGTCTGTTAGAAGTTACGACAAAGGTCCCATTAGGTGGGTTGCTGTTAAGGAACTTGAATTAAGTTACCATAATGGGTATATGTATATACTAGTTAATATGGTTTCCCCAGTATAGTAACTTGAATTAAGATCCTTGGCACCAACCCAGTTAGGTGTGCTTGTGATGCCAGGTATAGGCACACGGCCCACCGCGGTGCGCACCGAAGCAAGTACTTCACCAGCTGAGCGCCAGCGAGAAGTGACCTCAAGCTTGCCTCTTTTGAGTCCATTTTAGGGTTTTGGGGTTCAGGGTTAAGGGGTTTGGGGCCTAGGGCTTAAGGGAATAGGGTTTAGGGGTTTAAGGGCTAAAGGGTTTAGGATTTAGTAGCAACCCCTCCCTAGAATTGAGCCCAGCCCCCCACATACTAGCTGGTCCCTACACAAACGCA